AAACACTAATCCATGCTTTTATCACCTCCAGGCTGGATTATTATAATTCCCTTTTATCAGGCTGTCCAAACTCATCATTAAAGACCCTTCAATTCATACAAAATGCTGCAGCACAGGTTTTAACAGGAACAAAGAAGATGGACCACATCACTCCTGTTTTAGCAGCATTGCACTGGCTACCAGTTAAGTCCAGGATTGATTTTAAAATACTTTTACTCACATACAAAGCGCTAAATGGTCAGGGACCATCCTACCTACAGGATCTTTTAATCTCCTATTGCCCCTCTAGGGCATTAAGATCCCAGAGTGCAGGGTTGCGGTCGGATAATCCAAAAATCAGCTCCTAACGTCTAACCCTATCGTCTATTCCTTGACCTCTGAGTGAAACGTCACGGGGTTAAGGAATAGTGGATAGGAGAATTCAAAAGGATTTAGGAGAAGAGACTGCGGGGTTGCATTCCAATAGTCCATTTAGCTTAGGAACCTTCCTAACGGAGTGAAATGACCCGGAAGCACATCACTGACAGCCATGATAAGTGCCGTTCCAATTCTCCAAATGAAAGGAAAGGAGGTTTCAAACTTCCTTTATAACCTCCTTTAGCTTAGGAACCATTGGACCTCCCTAACCGAAAGGAGAGGAGAAAATGCTGCCCCACAATGCATTGCAGCCGCAGCATTTGCCGTCACTCAACAGTCGGCCGTTCACACAACCGATTATGACCGAGAAATGATATCATGAAAGTTACGGTGCTTATTAAGCATTTTAACGTATGTGGTAAGTTGCCAAAGTGCTTTTTTCTGTACGTTCATCAGTATTATAATCAAAGAGATAAATATGAACGTTAGTTTTTACTGAAATGATCAAATAAAGTCAACATTTCACAGTCTTTACTGAGCTGTGTGGAGTTTGTTCAACTTTTAAAAGATGTTTGAATGGTGATATACACAGTGATAGATGTTAAGGACTAACGTTTATAATAAATACATTTGTATTGATTTTAAGATATGTTCATAGTTCATACAATCATACATATTGGGATCATTTGTATTAATGTCGACCGGAGGGAGAGGGTGACGAGCATAAGTTTCACTTTCCTTTTTTATTTCAATTCCAACTTTGGTCATGAAGAATATGTTTCTCTGTTGTCCCCGTTCATAAACGTTCAACAGCGTCAGAGCACGGTGCAGAGTCTCTAGATGAGTTTACAGTAGTCCCTCGTTCTTATTATACATCCATGTTGTAGTCCTCTGTATAGAAAACTGTAGTTTCCATAGTTTCCCCACAGCAGCAGACGCACATTCATGACGTCCGCTGGAGCATCATAAACACGTCGGATAGTGAAAGTGCTGTCAGATTCTCTGAAGTACCGGGTTGCCGGGTTGCTCTTCTCCTAAATCCTTTTGAATTATCCTATCCACTATCCCTTAACCCCGTGACGTTTCACTCAGAGGTCAAGGAATAGAAGATAGGGTTAGAATTTAGGAGCTGATTTTTTGATTATCGGAACGCAACCCGGTACTTTAGAGAATCCGACTGCACTTTCACTATCCGACGTGTTTATGATGCGCCAGTGGACGTCATGAATGTGCGTCTGCTGCTGTGGGGAAACTATGGAAACTACAGTTTTCTATACAGCGGACTACAACATGGATGTTTAATAAGAACGAGGGACTACTGTAAACTCATCTAGAGACTCTGCACCGTGCTCTGATGCTGTTGTTTTATGCTTTATGAACGTGGACAACAGAGAAACATATTCTTCAGGACCAAAGTTGGAATTTAAATAAAAAAGGAAAGTGAAACTTATGCTCGTCACCCTCTCCCTCCGGTCCACATTAATACAAATGATCCCAATACGTATGATTGTATGAACTATGAAAATATCTTAAAATCAATACAAATGTATTTATTATAAACGTTAGTCCTTAACATCTATCACTGTGTATATCACCATTCAAACATCTTTTAAAAGTTGAACAAACTCCACACAGCTCAGTAAACACTGTGAAATGCTGACTTTATTTGATAATTTCAGTCAAAACTAACGTTCATATTTCTCTTTGATTATAATACTGATGAACGTTCAAAACAAAGCACTTTGGCAACTTACCACATACGTTTTAAAATGCTTAATAAGCACCGTAACTTTCATGATATCATTTCTCGGTCATAATCGGTTGTTTCCGTGAACGGCCGACTGTTGTGTGACGGCAAATGCTGCGGCCGCAAGGCATTGTGGGGCAATGCCTCTCCTTTCGTCAAGGGAGGTCCAGTGGTTCCTAAGCTAAAGGAGGTTATAAAGGAAGTTTGAAACCTCCTTTCCTATCATCTAGAGAATTCAAACGGCACTTACCATGGCTGCCAGTGAGGGACTTCCGGGTCATTTCACTCGGTTAGGAAGGTTCCTAAGCTAAATGGACTATTCGACTTCAGCCCAGGTTTGTCCCAGAGTCCACAAAAAAAGGTCAGGTGCTAGAGCTTTCGGCTACCAAGCCCCGTTCCTCTGGAATCAACTTCCAGTGACGATTAGGGAGGCAGACAGTGTCCACACATTTAAGAGTAGGTTAAAGACTTTCCTTTTTAGTACAGCGTACAGTTAAGACTGGTTTTAAACCCCCTTTTATACATCCTCATGGACCCTTCGTTTTATGGAATTGTATTTATTGTACTCTAACTGTATTTGTGTCATTGTGTTATGTTTCTTTTTAAATTGGTATTTTCACATTGATCTTATAAGATACGTTTCTTGTTTTTACATTGTTTTACATTGCCAATTGTGTTTGTTGACTTGTGAAGCCCTCTGAGACAAATAGGATTTGTGATTTTGGGCTATATAAATAAACTTGAATTGAAAAAATTGAATTGAATTGACCTTTACTAGCCAAATCAGACCATTTGTGATTTCCTGCTTTTATATTATGTTTTACAAAACATGTTTCGTGATTCATAATTATATGTATTTAATGGAATTTAATGGAATAAAAAAAAAAAGACCTTCTAGCAAACTACACTTTAGATTGCATGTATACTATATCTAGTTGTTGCTATGTGTATTTGATCTTTTGGGGGAAAAGTGAAGTTATTAATTAAAAGAATATAAAAGAACAGAATAAAAAATTTGAAATAATATTACAACACGAAACAACCGTGTTGACACAGTAATGCAATGTGAAAAGACATTTTAATAAAACAAAAACTCCTTTATAGAACAGAAGATATTTTTAAACTGTTATACACATTATTGGATGTGGTTTGCTTACTCTTTATTCACAAACAATCCTATTTGCCAAGTACTGTGGTCACAGAGTGCTTCTCAGTACACAACTACTGTATAAACAATATATGTTTAAATGTTAGTAAACCTGTAACATTTTAACCATCTTCCTCTGGTGAGAAGCATTAAACCATATTTATCACACCTCTGGTTGCAGCATCACTCTTTGTACACACACATGCTGCCCACACACGCAATCACCTATTTCTGCCGACTGCAAAGTAACCAACCTCACTGCTGAGTGATGGTGCGTGGTTCAAGGTTTGCTTTCATTCATAGACCCAATATTTGTTGGTGTTGTCAAGTGAAACGGTAACCTTACAGTTCAAGTTACAGGAGTTGTAAAAGAAGGCAATGTGATTTGTTGGTGTCCAACATTTAGTCTCTCAGCCAAATAGCCTACTGGCAATCATTTAGGAGGACTCTATGATGCCAAATCTGACACTGATCTCATCTCAAAGGACAAAAATATTGTAGTCCGATCATAAGACTTTACAAAATCTATAAATGTCGAAAGGCTTTCATTCACAACAGAGAGGGAAGCAGCTGGCAAAACTATTTCAAATCATATTGGAAGACTGCAACACTACAGAAGATTACACACATACATATGTAGTATGCACACTGACGCACACATTCAGATTGACCCTTGTGTCTAGTGTTTATCTCTATTCTTATGGAGAGGGGAAGCAAACCATCTGTCATAATACCCATTTTCACTTTGTGAACCCCATGACAACACAACATGACATTACATCAAAGAAAGTAGCCTGACTTGAGACGGCAGATATATTCATTGGCAAACAGACAGGCAATCGCATAGTGCATGTTAAAGTGCAGCAACAAATTCAAGATGAAAGCAAAGTCCTTTCTTTGGTCCCATCTGCCAACCTGGTATGGATTAGATAGTGAAAGTGATTAGGCACTCTTTATAATTTAGTCTTGAATAAATCAATCCTGAAACTTCGATGTCACCGATATGAAATGACAGTTCACATGTTATGTAACTTGTCACCACTTTCATCCGAGTTCACTCTCTTTGGATATACCTTACAATATGGGTTCTGTGTTCGAGTTTTTCATTTACCGTTTTTTTCCCCTTCCTTTGTAGTCCGCTGAGCCAAGGACATTGACGCTGTAATTTTTTCGCAGTCAAAGAAACCTTTTCATAGTGTCCTTTTCAGACTCAGAGAGTGAATCTATTACTGAGGGAGGTAAAAGAGTACGAGGAGTTGCATAATATAATGGACACATCCCTCTTATACAAAACCATAATTTTACAGCAAATACCATCACCATTGATGGTTGATCCCAAAGTGTAAGAGGGTGTTACTTTTTGATTAGTTAATTTAGCTTTAGGCTCTGTTTGGATATATTTTTGTACAAACAACACTTGCAAATTGCTGCGTTTTGATTATCAGATTGACCGGTGGAGAACACAAGATAACACATGTGTTTAAAACACCCAGTTGTCCTCTGGGGACTAAAAACCGTGTGATCAAAACCAAGATAACAGCTGGGACATCTTCAGACGACAAGGCAGTGCAGTGAACCATCTGGATAATGTATTTCTAGACAGAATGACAAAACAAAAAGTAATTGTCTGTCTGTGCGCAGCTGCCATGCATCCATATCCAATGACAAAGGGAAATGAGAAACTTCTTGGTAAAATAAATAGAATCTCTCAGCCTTATACATCCATAAACATGTATTCTCTCTCCACAGGGTGAAGTTGAAAGAAGGAGTGACGTTTCTCGGGGCTCGTCCCAGCAATCCCACTCAGTGGATGGTGAGCCAGGATGTGAGGAGCGAAGGCCACCGAGTGGTGACTCTTCACTGCCGCAGGAAGGAGTCGGGCTACGATCAGCAAAGGTTAGCACATAAATGACTTCACTTTAAAGGAATACTACCAGCAAATATGTTTCATTGGTTACGTTTGCAGCACAACTAAACATTAATATCTTATAAAGTTGATATAGCGAACATGCTAGCATACAGCTGCCATTCGCATTTGCACCTCGAAGTGTTTGCAGTAATCTTAATAACGTTAATAACGCGTTAACGCAAAAATTAACGCCACTAATTATTTTAACGCGATTAACGCGTGTATTTTTTATCCTCGGCCGCCCCGTAGTTTCAGAGCGCATCGAGTTTAAAATACCATCTACAAGCTGATGCTGACAGCCCCGCTCCTGCCGTCCGCTTGCGGCAGACCACACTTCCACGCTCACCGGCAGGCCCGGACTGGCCATCGGGAGGACCGGGAGGTGTATGTGCGGCGCGAGCGAGAACGCGCACACCTTACGTGTATTGTTGTTGTTATTGTTGTTAGCATCTGGTGCTATCTAGCTGCGCTAACGGATATAAGGAGCTGTTTCAATGAAAACAGAGGAGCGGCATTTCGCCGACAACTGCGCCGAGCACTTGACTTTATGCAGGCAGCCAGACAGTGGGACATAGTACGAAAAGTCAGCACACTCGGCACGGATAGTGCGCGCAACATGATTGCAGCGTCCAGGCAGCTCCCGTTCGAGCATATGCCTTGAGTTGCACATAGCTCCAACGATCCATCACAACACACACACACACACACACACACACACACACACACACACACACACACACACACACACACACACACACACACACACACACACACACACACACACACACACACACACACACACACACACACACACACACACACACACACACACACATTGTATGAGAGAGGTTCCAGGTTGAATTGAGGCGGATATTTGTAATGTTCAGAGGTTGTGTTGAGAATATTCATGAGAATATTTGTCATTGTTCAAATGATAAACAAACATTTGCATAAAGCATATTTGTCCACTCATATGATGATAAGAGTATTCAAAACTTGAAAAATATCCCTCTAAGGTAAATTTAGAACAGATAAAAATGTGCGATTAATTTGCGATTAATCGCGATTAACTATGGACAATCATGCGATTAATCGCGATTACATATTTTAATCGACTGACAGCCCTAGTTCCTAGCTATCGTTGTCCATCTGCCACTTGATGCTTTGCAGTTACCATAGGCCTACAGTGGGTTTTGATGAGCTACCTGCTGCTCCTAACAAGTTTTATGAGGGTAAATTGAAACATTCAAGTTGGTCACCATAAAACTAAAACAATGAGTTAAAAGAAGCTTCCCACAGAGTTGAAGGGAACAGCAGAACTTAAACATAATAATTGTTGGTGGTTCAGCAATGCTGGTGAGTCATCATTTTGGCCAAATTATTACAGCCTCAATTTTTATATCAACATCATTTCAATTGAAATGAGAAAAATACTTTTAATCTGATCTGTTCTTTGACACAGCAGAAGTCTTTTATCTAATATAGTTTTTACATTTAAAAAAGACAAATATATATTTAATAACATAACTATGAATCGATTGAGTGCATTTTACAGCTGCTACAATCTCATTCACTCACTCTTTTGATACGCATTCATTGAGCTAACTCAATCACTTTGACTGAGCGGTTCAATCTCCTATAACTCTTTTTTTTTCACCGTTAACGTAATTTCAGAAATTGCTTTGGCTCATCATTTACATTTTGTCAAAGATACATTAATAAATGTAATGTAAGTGGTGTCACACTTGACTGTCCATAAAGGCTGTGGCATATTTCTGTTGAGACCACTGTGGGGATGGGGAAGTTACCAGGCCTTTGAAATATCCCCTCTTCTCTCTCTCCCTCTCTCCTATCCACTCCCCTCCACCCCTCTCTTTATTTGCATACTTATTTTTTCTCCACTGCCATATCCTCAAAGTTGTTTTGGTCATTTCCTTTTGAATTCACGTCTTTAAACTAATCTGGCATATAGGGAGGGAGTGATTGCCAGCACTCAGTAAAAAGGTTGCTGTGTTAATTAAGTGCTGATTGAAGGTCTTTGTGTACTTTAATGGTTTTTCCCCCTCGGATCAGGAAGTAGTTTTAAATGATATAAGTTTCTAGTGACAGGTGTAATTTTATGGATTAGAGGCCGATTTGGGGTCGGGTAAAGCTCCGCTTATTTGCTCTTTAGCTTTCGTTCCACTTAGAAAATTCTCCCTTAAGAAAACAGGACATTTGACAGTGCAGCTGCAACTTTTAATCAACATGGTCAGGGGTAATTTTAAGTGTAACAGCCTATAAAAAAATGTGAATGTGTTGGTCCAGTGATTTGTTTAGACATGCCGCTATTAGTGGATTACTACGAAGAATGATTATAGTGTAACTGCAATACACACAGACGTTAGCCAAAGATATATGCGCCTGCCTTCGAAGAGCTGTAAAAGGGAAGCAGCTAATAAACATTTTCTAAAAGACGTCTCATACAGTAATTTGTAATGAAATAGAAATGGCGTGGCAGTTGCTGATCTTGAAGGAATGTTTTTTTTGTTGGTTTAATATTTTTATTTCTCAGAACATAAAGTACAACTTTTTTTGGACTTTGTACGCACTCACTTCCAAGCTGGTGCTGCCCCTGGAGATCAAAGTCTCCTTTGCACTGAAACCATCTTTCCTGACCTTACATCTTACCAGTATTGTACATGACGGCTCAGCCTTTCAAACACAAAGGTACCAGCTGCCTGAAATGTTACAGGGATGCAGAATGTTGATCATTTTGTTTGTATAGCTAAACCTACCTATTTCACCCTGACTCACACATAACGGTTAAAATATCAAAACTGAATAACACCCTACTTGCACATCAGGAGCTAGAACTATACAAAAATATTTGCTGTTATCAGATGTGTTGTTGCTGTACTGTACATAGAGGTTTATATCATTTTTGCAAGAAGCCAAAAAGGTTGAAACCCAATTTAGTTATTTTTGGCAGCTATCATGTCAGCAGTTTCTTTGGAAATGTAGAATGATATTTTCCATTAAAATCCCAAAACAATACTTTCTGACCTGAATATGTGAGGGGGGCTGGCCGAGGTTAGTCCAAGTTGAAGGTTTGGCCTTTAACAATAACTTAGTGGTAGCAGTAATATATTTTGTCGGCGAATGTCTGCAAGCGAGCATCTCGAACAACATAAAAAGGAGATTTCAGCATCGCTGGCGAGCCATCTTCCGCCTTCATGCATGTATTTTTCTCTCTTAACAAACCTTCTCTCCCGCACACATGTGCTCTGTTACTGTAAAATAATGCTTTATTGATTTACCAAGTGGAGGGAACCTGAGACAAGTGTGAGCATATTTAGTCTAATCCCTGCTGTTGCCATGGACGATGGACTGCTCCTTAATCCCCAAAACTGTCAAAGTCACTTCACAGAGAAGACCAAAGACGCCCTGTGATGGCTATACAATACACAATGCTCCAATTTTTCTTTCGTCTTGTCCTCCCCGCTCCCAGTCATTTCAATGAAGCTCTTTTAGAAGAGGATTAGACTATCTCATCTGTTGAGCTGTCATTCAGTTCGCTTTCTTCTTTTCTGCTCCTTTCCTTGAGGATGGGAGGTGTGTGAATGCAGCGGGTCAAACCCATTTGGATCCTGTTTACTTTTGTTTTCTTATTTCTAACAACACAATGAATATGATCATCTATTAATGTATTGCTTATATTCTGCAGAGCCCTTTAAAAAAAAAAGACTTTGGGTGCTTTTTACTCATAATTACTAGTCCTTATCTTGCAACAATAGCCATGTAGGGTGAGGTAATGCTTTTTCAGATTACTAAAAGCTGTTCACCTGCAGTGCTATTTAAAATGTGCACAAAAGCTTTCCATATAGACTCACTTCTGAAAAGTAATAACGTGTTGGCTGATTATTAATTGACTTGTCTGCAGCACACTCAATGTCAAGCATTAATATCAAATAATCTACCCTTGCACCTTCTCTGCTTATTTAAACAAAAAATGTCATGATCCTCTAGCTCTGCGACTACTTCATTCAGAGCTGCTGTCAATTACGGATGTCAATCATGACATCACACTCCCTTTTATAGCTTTAAATAACTTACATAACACTTTAGAAAATGAACACTTTTTTCGACGCATACATGATTTTTAAGTTTGGCACTTCTCCCATCAGCTAACGTAGAGGAGCGAGATTTATGAGCTCTACTGCAGCCAGCCATCAGCTAGATGTTTTGGCTTCACTTTTCGGTACTCGTCCTGTCGTCCATCATTATATACAGTCTATGATTTGCATATCTAAAGCAAACTGTCTTTGGATGGAGGGGTAAAAGTGCCTCAGCCGTCCAGGGTTTAGCAGCTGTTAGTGAGACAGCTAATGACACCAGAAAACATATATGTCATCAGTAACTGCTCTCAGGGTTGCACTGAGGTTGGATTTTCATCTTGACACACACTGACTGAAAATTGGAATCGGAGCCCAGACTGTCAGCTGTGGTACAAATGGATAGTTGGCGCTGCACCTTGGAATGTGGACTGGACTTAAGTGTCATTGAATGATGTGAGTGGGAGTACTATTTGAAGCCTGTGTGCCATGATGGCAGCCCAGTCCCACTGCAAGCATGAGAGCACATTGATACTGATGGGTCAGGTGTAGCCTAATATGTGCCGGTTCAATCATTTACTTGAAGCTGCTCACACTGGCCAGCTGAGCCACTCCTTTCTTCCGGCTGACAGCTGATGCTCCAACCACACCTAGCTGGCTTTGAACACCCATTTAAAACAAGATCAAATGGACATTTATTCTTGCTGCTACCCAAGCTTTAAATATACCAATCATCTGCTTTACAGATAAACATAGTATACCTTTTTGTCAGTTTTCATCAAACGAAATTTGTTCCACCACACAAAATATTATTTTCAGAGGAATGGCTTTTTTTTAAATCTGTTTTTCAGCCCTGTAGATATTCAAATGTGCATATGGTAATGCAGACCTGC